ACAAAACCTCTGAACCAGGCTGCAAGGCCAGAGTCTGTAAGAAAACTTCAGTTGAATATGTTCCTTAGCACCCAAAGGACAGACTATTGCTGATTTGGGCCTTTTTATTATTTTAAGGAAAAAACAGATCATTGCGACGAAACCGGCTTTTAACAGAGGGGTGCTTGGTTTCAGTTTGTGGTAAGCAAAGAAAGCAAAGACCAGTTGCCAGGTTTTCAGATAGTAAAACATTCTTTGGTTTATTTTTTCAGAAAAAGGAACTTCAAACCTCAGCTTTAATGCCTGAAAACACCCTTGTAATCATCCTTTTTTATCTGTGTATTATTCCAGTTCTATAAACAAGCTTAAAATAGTAAATGATAATACCAAGATTTGGACAGAAGAGCATCAAAGGCAGTATCTTCAGCTGTAATGAATTACTTAAAAAGCAGAACTCTAAGTATCTTGCACTGCTTGTCTATTAATTTTAACCTGGGAATCACACTTGGGGAGCCATGTCGTGATACTGGAAGGCCCTTGATTTTTTTCTGGTATCAAGCAAACAGGACACACATGATGATTTTTCTGCGCAATGATGGTTTTCAGAATAAAGGCCAGATAAGAGGCCAGTGCCTTGAAATTGCCTCTGCATCTGTGTCAACAGTAAAAAAGACCAACACTATGAACCCAGTGAAACTTTTGTGTTTAATTTGAAAGAGTTAAGTGTACAGTTGAGACCTTTGACATGAGAAAGTGTGACAGAGCCCCATCTTTAGCTTGGATCACTTTTTACCAGTGCAAGACTCCACAGCTAGAAGAGTTTGGGCATGTAGCATTGAGAGACTACACCCCACAGAGCCTCATTTGGCTCTTAATTTGGGTCAGATCTTCACAGAAATCACTGGTTATTGTCTCTGAGCAAGGATCCAGGAAAAAGGGAATGCCAAGTCTTTCCATTCCCTAATTGCACTTTGTAAAGAAAATGATCCTCCTTAGATTTAGGCTTCTCTGCCCAGCTGTGATTACTTGATCTGAGTACTACACCCTCAGAAAAGAGTTGTTTCCTGCCTTTGTAGACTACCTAAAAGTTGCTTTATGGAAGCAGAATGCCCGTATAGAGAATTTAGGTCTTCAGACTTTCCTGATTTATGTTTTGTAGATTCCTAAAAAGTAATCAGGACGCCTTTCTCTCCTCTCTCCACCCCAGGAATGCACACACCCCAGATCAAAAGCTTCTATTTCAGGAAAAAAAAAGGCAATTTTGTTGTCAGGACTATTAATTTAGAAATGTAATTTCAGTGCTTGGTAAAACAATTCAATTTCCTGATCTGCATTTTTACCTCATTTCAGGTAGGAACCTGCTCATTTTCACTTCAGTTCACTGCAAAAAGGCACAGCAAGCTGCAAAGGCCCATCCATTATTGAACTTGGTTGTCCTCAGGCTGTGCTCAAGTCACTTCTGAGCATTCCCTTTCTTAAGCTCACCAGATGGACTCCAAAGCTGGGCAGGCTTAGCAACATTTCCATCAACTTTCTGATTCAGCTCTGATCTCTCTCAAATTTATCAGCAGCCATTTGGAATCACAGCCAGGGCAGTTACAGTGCTATCAATGGGGATGTAGTATCTCCTGTCCAGCACTGAAGTTTTTGTTTTCATATCCAAAATCCATGCTTTCCCCTTCAGGCATAGTATCCCACTGGGCCTTGGGCCCAATTGTTTGCTCATTTGCCATCACTCCTTCCTCACTTGCCTTTTTCAAAGCTGCACGCTTGGAAAGATGATGTATGAAGTTTCTAAAGCAGTAAAAGCCTGGTGCAGCTTAGGGAAGTCAGAGTATGGGAGTAGTTCCTACTCACAGGTGGTTGCTACTCAACATTCTAGGTTATGCTCCTCTGCAGGGGTTGGTTTTATGAAAGGACATTGTATTTTTACTCAACAACAAACCTTCCCGTAGTCTTTAAATTCCAAGCCTTGCATTAAAAACAAAGTATTTCTAAAGACTGGAGGGTACAGCTTGTTCATCATCCTCTTAAAATGTATGAATTAAGAGACTTAAAATATTTCCCCTGAATACTTTGACTGTAACTCCACAAGTAATGTAATTTACAAGGAGCACATCTCAGGAAAGCACATATCTTATCCAAGCCTTCCAGACACCCATTGCTACCCATAACCAGGCTTGAGTGCTCTGATGAGTGGGAGCAATACTTACAATTTTTAAGCCATAGAGGCTTTGCAGCAGGGGGTAATTGTCATTATTACCCCAGTGTATAGGTGAGGAAACTGAGGGATGAAGTGACTCACCCAAAGAGCCCAGTGAGTCAACAGGAGAGTTGGGAATAGAGGGCAGAATTCCCTGCCTTATGCATTGGAGTCCTCAGATAATATCATTTTATAAATGCTCTATCTTTGTAAAGACTTCAGTGCTATAATTATCCTCCCAGGACTCTCATGGAAACAAGATATTTATAACTCCATTAAGCCTTTCCTGGTAATTTTATGATCAAAGTGAAGAAAACAAATAACGCCGTGACAATCAGCTGCATGTCCAATGTCATTCAGAATGGCCACATGATGAAAGACTCGCCTTGGTTGTTGCAATTAAGTGCTTGCTATCTTTCAAATGCCTTTCTTGTGTCTAATTCCCCTTCCACCACATACTGGCTGAGAGGAAATATTTTTCTGCCATATGATGAGCCACACATTTAGAATATACCAAATAACTGGGAAAGATGCTTGCTGTCAACAAAGCCCACTGGTTTGTGCTATAAATGCTTCCTAAAATCTTTTAATGTTTGCCAGTTTCACCTAAAATGAGCAAAGCCACCTCAGTGTTTCCACTAACCCCCACATGGCTTTAAAATTACAGCACGGATGCCAAGACTAACTGTAAACAACAGGTTAGGGACTGAGGCATTTGGACCCTGGCTCAGCAAAGCACTTAAGCCTGTGCTTAAATTGAAATCCATTCTTATTCTGCAAATCCATTTTAAGTGTTTGTTTAAAGCAAAACACATGCTTAAGTCAAGTTTTGCTTGGCACAGTGCTTAAGCCCACCACAGAGTGAGGGCCTTAGAATTAATTTCTTTTGGGCAGGAAGTAATTATTTTTAGCTCACCTCTCAGTGGCCACAGCCCTATCTTTTAGTCCCCAGACATCTATTTCGAGGAGGTATACGTGCTAAGCCTAAACTTCTGGGTTCTGTGGCAGTCAGTGGCAAAGAAAAGAGAAAGAGACCACTTGAAATACTTGACTGCTCAGTACAGATGAAAGGGGCCTTTGGGGAGGCTCATTAGGGGGAAGACATGAAAGAAGTTGTGATTATTCTGGGAGGTGGTTGCTGATATGGCATGTCATCTTTTCACTGCACTGACTGGAGAAAATTCACTTGCAGCAGGTGAGCAATTTTAACTCAAAATGTTTTCATGAGTTTTATATTTCCAAGGGAAATTTATGATTTCAGGGCAAATAGTTATACTTTCTTCAAAAGTGTCAAAAAAGGTTTGACTGCAATGTGATAGTTTCCCTTTTTTTTTCCTTGGTTTTTTTTCCCCCTGAAACTTTTCATTAATATACAATAAAATTCAAAAATTGTTAAAGGAAATTTGAATTAACAGAGTTTTATTGCTCATTTCTCATAATTCTAGATTTCCTCTCTCTTAGATGTTGGAATTATTTATCAGGTAGATCTGGCCTATGGCATATCTGGAGGAGAAACAATTGCATTTTCTAAGATGTTTTTTGACGGATGTCCCACTGCATTCCCTTTAACATCCATGCTTCATACAGAAGGTAGAAATAAAAACATAAGTCAAAATACAGTATTTTTTTTTCCTCTGTGGGCTTAAAAATCTCCTTCTTCATACACTTTTTGTACTGGCATGGATAAAACCTGTTTCTGACTTCTGCTACTGATACGTAGAGCAGCTTTCTAACAGTAGAGAGGGTAAGAGGACAGATCCCCTATGGAATTTCGGTACTGCTGTATTTAAAAGCAGATTGGATGAACACTTGAAGAAGAATAATTTAGATACTGTTAATCCACTCCTGCATAGGGTATCGTGATGACCTTTTAATTCTCATTTAACCCTGTCCCATGGGAAAGTCTCTCCCTCCCCCAGAAGCTTCTGAATTATTTCCAGGCAGAAGACCTCATTTAGCTCTATCACTTGACCACTACATTGCTTTACTAATCCATCTCCCTTGTTTTTTCCACCTAGGAAAGTACAGTGAGTGCCTGGAGCTGTCCTCCACCACGGGGCACTGATGGGATCCCAGAGCCAAGCCCGCTTTTCTGCTTGTTTGGTATTTCTCTGCCACGAACAGGTATTTCTTTCCTGTCAAATGCCTACATTTCTAATAAAAATAAATCATGCCTTTCAGGACAGATATTTTCATGTCTGATTCTCAGCTGCTTAGGGAGTTGGTAAATCCTGTATCCTCACAGGAGTGAGGCTGCTGCAGCTCTGGGCCCAGCCTGTAGTGAGGCTGCACACGGATTCCCAGCAGGCACATACACAAACACACGTGTAAAACGTGTGTATGCAATGATGGCCCCACTGGCCAACTCAGACAGAAACACTCAGCACTCACAGAAGCAGCACCAATGGCCTCATCCTGCTCCCTGCTCTGGCACATCGAGGTAAAGGTCTGTGCAAAAGGAGTGCAAAATATATAGAAAAATCATCACAGAATCACAGAATGGTTTGGGTTGGAAGGGACCTCAAAGATCATCTCATTCCAAACCCTTGCCATAGAAAGGGATACCTTCTAACCAATTCGATGTTGACCTTCTTTTTGGGACCTTTTACCTTTAAAGTCAAGTTTGCCATTATAAAATTTTGCTTTTTTGATTTACCTCTTGTGGGGAAAAAAAAATCCCACATCACACAGACAAAATCAAACAAAACAACACAAACAAAAAAATCCACGCACCAAAAAAAAAACCCCAAAAAACCCCCAAACAAAACAAACCACAAAAAACCTCACCAACCTCCAAACCCCAAAATCAATCAAACAGAAAAATAAAAAGCAATGCGCATTTGGGAAAAAAAAAACTTTGCAAAACTGGAAAACACATAAAACCATAGAATCACAGAATGGTTTGGGTTGGAAATGACCTTAAAAAGATTATCTGATTTCAACCCCGTGCCATGAGCAGGAACACCTTCCACTAAACCAGGTTGCTCAAAGCCCTGTCCCACCTGGCCTTACAGATATTGCAGTGATTGCCAAATTTTAAAATTAAAATATACACTTCTAAGTAATACCATGCATGAAAACCAAGGGAATAGATTTCAGTTTTGGAAGAGACACTGAAACAGCAGTTAAGAGTGCAACTCTTGCAGAGTTGACTATAATGAGCTAAATTAGAAGTTGGATGAATCATTTTCCAACCATATAAATCATTGAAGTTGTTCTATCCATAATGAAGGTAAGCCAACCACGTAATGAATTATACAATGTGTTATTTTCCTATGCTTGTTATTCCCATAGTTTTACTGTTGTTGAAAGTCTATTTGTGTGGGATTTTTTTTTTTTTGCAAATACTTTTAAAATGATGAATAATCTTTACTTAAAAGACTAAAAATACATGCCAGCTATTACTGTATATGAAATCTGACAGCAGTGAAAGTGTTATCTGAGCTTACTTGACAGCTCCATCAAACAACTTTTACTAGGTATTCTTTATAGGATTGAATATTCTTAGATTTGTGCAATTTGTTCTATAAGTCATGTGAAAGGGAAAGCAAAAGTGTTCTAGATATTAGACAACCAGTCTTTTCTTGCAATCACTTTTTATTGGGAGCTGAAGATCCCAGTCAAACTTTCATCGTATATTCATGCAAGGACCGATCCTGAATCCTGTGGAACAGGTAATACTCAGTAGAAATTTTAGGGGCTCCGATGGAACAAGACCCCAAGTGCTTGCAATTTTTCCATTACAAATGCATTTTATTTGCAAAAATTTGGCACCTGTTGCAGGCAGAGCAGGCCAGACCTTCACCTACCCACAGAGGCAGTGGCACAGAAGTCATGATACTTTATCAGGCTGTGGATCTGATCCGGTGGTCTCTGCTCAGACTGTGCACTGGATATTGTGTGGATATTGTGTGCACTGGATATTGTACACACCAGGGAGATGTACAGTGTTACCAATCTGATTTCTTAACATGAGGCACCACTTTGGCCTTGGTTTGAAGCAACCTGCACATTCTAGCTGGTTCTAGCACAGCTTCCACGCAGGATTTCCAAACAACTGCAGCTTTTTGTCTTGAATGTTTGGTTGGCAAGCTTAGCATATCAGATTTGCAAAATCTGTGAATAACTGCCCCCCAAAGCATGAATGCAGCAGGAGAGCTTGGATTTTAAGCACTAAGACATGGGCAACCAGGTGCAGAGCACAGGTACAACTATTCTGGTATGCCAGAGCACAGTTCAGCATTGAATATGTGAATATTGAGTATGTGCAGAATTGAAAGTTGAAATTAAGAACTCTTCAGGCAGAGAACTTATCTGAAGGTGTAGGATAGGGAAGCAGCTCAGTGGTTCATCCATCGGGGGGGAGGGTGGCAAAGGAAAGTTAGTGCTGGGCAGCTTTTATTCCCGGCATTTATACTGGACCCGGAACGGTGCCATGGGTTGCTGTGTCCCCACCAAGTGTAAAGGGCTCTGCAGAGAGAAGAAAATCGGTAGGAACATTTAAGTTAGTTCAGTTATTGGATTTATTATCTTGCTTTAGTATTAAGATATAAACATATTCTTGGACCTTTGGTCTTAGAGAACCAAAACCAAATACCAAGAGTATTTCTTGGCTTTGCCAAAGCCATTGAGGAGAGCCTTCATGATTAGTTTTTATTCAAGTCACTCTGCCAACATGACACATGAGCTCTTAAGAAATTTTCACAGTTTCGAATATTTCAAAATATTAAAATAATAAAGTGGAGACTGTGCCATTCTCCTTTAATGGTAAAACCTCTGTGTCACAGTTACTCCTTCAGTCTTACCCTAATGATTTACCTTCCATCACTGAAAATGGAGTGGAAGAGCACTATAAGTGCTGCATCTTTCATATTTTTAGAGTATTAATGATCCAGTTCCATATTCACTGTTTTTGTGAGGGGCAGAAAGCAATTATCAAATCTCTGGTGATGTTTAGGCAACAATGAGACAAAATACTCTTGTATGGTCAGTGCAGCTCCACTAACTGGAATTGCTGAAGTTATTCTGGGTTTTCTAAGTTCAAACAAAGACTGAGCTATGCATTACATGTTTTATAACACTCCTCTCAAAATTTCATTTCATTATACATAACCACAGTTGACCATGGCTGTTCAGGTGAGCCTGATGACTGGAGGATATAAAGATGGGGAATGCTATATGATTGCATGGTACTCTTACCTCCCTTGGTACTGCATCCAATGCCACAAATTCATACTTGTACAGGAACAGAACAACAAACAACTGGATTTCCATGATCGCAAACCACCTGCAAGAAAAGGGAGGAAAACATCTGCTGTCCAGCCTGAATATAACACACGTGTTATCATCATCAGGTAACAAACAGGGTGTCTGACACATTTTACACTCCATGCTTTAGTTCTGCTTGAAAGTTTATCTTCCATAGGGAAATCTGCTGTAGCTTTGTTCAGCTTTGTTCCTCAGCAAAGAACATGAATGTAGTGGCTGCCCCTTCTTTCTGGTGAACCATTAGACCAACAGTATCCTTCTGACACCCTATTTTAAACCAGACCCTTATCATTATGGATTTTTCCACTGTATAAACATTTATGTTCTCCTAACGCTTGCTGACTTGAAATAACTTCCTAGGAGTGAGAAGGCAGTCAAATACAGAAAAGGCCATATGACTAATCGTGCTATATAAAGTTATATAATACAGCTGGGAGCCTGATGACATCAGGGAGCGGTGACAGTGGGAGTTATTATTTAATGCATCAGCATTAGGATGCAGTAGGAGACCCAAGGGCATGATTTCTTTTTTCTATAACACTCTCAGAAAGGTCCTTCTTAGTCAGGCCGGAGAATATTTCAGATAACTGCAGGTGAACTCCTCCAGGCTATTTCTTTTTAAGGTTGATACACACAAAAGCTTTCTGCATTAAGCAGCATACACCTATGCCCGGTCGTGGGATTACTCACTTGCAGAATTTAGACATAAGTCTTAAATATCCAGTTAAAATAGTAATACTACCTTCCTCTTCTACAGTTTATTTTCTGTTATCTGAGAGATGCTGGAAAACCTGGATGAAACATCTACTGGGGAATTCACAGGGGAGGAGGCCACGTGACTGCGCGTGGCGTCAGCCTGGAGTTGGCCTGGGAGGTGTGAAGAAGCTAAGAAGCCCCAGGAGACCCAGGCTATCTCCTGCAGAACCATCAGGATCTGCACATGAAGCTGCCCTGGGCTCTGGAGTGGGAGGATGCTTGTTTGTTTTAGCACAGCTTCAGACCCAAATTATCTCTGTGATGTCACACTGGAACTACCTTACGACAGGGAGCTTTTGGTGACCTTGAGCTCTGGGGAAAGCAGTGCAGGGATCTTTCAGTGGATATTAGCCCAGATCAGGTGGGTTGTAGTAGCCCAAACTCCACGCCTGCAGCACTGTACAATGGTGAGATCCTTCCAGTCACAGTCCTGTTTGCACAGTGGAGCCCTGGACCCCTGGTGTTTGAGGTCCTGCCTCTGAGCACCCTCACTGGTCTTGCACCCAAATGCATCTGGATTTCCCAGAAAGTGGAAAGGCTGTGTGGACAGAGTCCTTCAAACACCAGCACAGCTGGAGGTGGACTGTGCAGCCCTGACACCTCTGTACCCTCTGCAGCCTGTCCCATGGATATAACCAGCAAATGACCACAGCACTTCCCACCACCACATCCCAAACTGCTTTTCCCAACAGGCTGCTGTGATTACTCTGCTCTGCACACAGAGATGCTAAGATACAAGGATAATAAGCAACACATGTGTCTGAGGGTGGTCAGAAGGACAATCCAGGAGTGAAATGCCAGACTGCAGCATTCCAGCATGTCCTCTTCCATGGCTTGTTGTACTGAGCAGAAACCATGAGCTTTCCTGCAGCAAAATGCTAAAGCCCCTTAGTTCCCACCTGTCTTTCATGTTCACGACTGAGTCCTAGAGCAGTTTTCCTGTAAAAACACTAAGTCACTGATGCCTTCCCACATTCCCATTTAATTTAGTGACAAAGGGGCTGGACCAAGATGTGCTTTCTGAAATCTTGCCCCCAGTGCACTGCTACATATTTGGGTGGTGCTGGAACCCAGGATCCCAGCTGTGGATTAAGATGCTGCAGTAAATGGAGCCCGAGAAGGAAATCACAGCTGGTTGCACTGGTTTTACAATGTCAGCACAAGACAGGAGACAACAGACAGAGCCATGCAAAATAAGCACAGTCACACAGGCAATAATCACCTGGTTAGACCAAAGTAGTCAAACTGACATCACATTTTTCTTTTAGGTAAAAAAGATGGCACAGAAATGGCTTTGTGGGAGCCCTTCCCATGTCAGTTTGCCAGAATATTTGACAAGTAGGTTATTTACTAGCTTTCAGTTTCATTAACTTTTCATTTCATGTTGAACTTTTGCAATGGAGAAATTAAATGTTTCATGCATTTAATTTATAAATCTCAATAGTGGATTAAAGGAAAATGCATCTTAAAGTTGAAATATCATTCTTTCATTCAGTCACATCAAGGAAATCTGCAGCCTGGAATCTAGATACAACCATTGATTTAATTTTCTTTTTTTCAAGACCACCACATTATTCCTTTACAATTATTGCTGAAAAACTTGAAGTTGTATGTTACCATGTGAACTGCCAAATGGTTTTAAAGAGTTTTTTTGTCTGTCAGCAAGAAAAATATTCTCCATCTGTTGTCTATGTAGAAATGTTATCATTTTCTTCCTAACCACAAACTTATTTTAAAGATGTTATCAGAGTCCAGAGAACAACCTGAACAAATAGGTCAGGATATACAAACAAGCAGCTTTCAGAAACACTGCTTTGCAGCTTTCCCTGTACCTGCAGATGCCTCTTGTGAATCTTGCTGTCACCCTTGCTGGAATGAGGCTGTGCTCATATTTAGCTCAGGAATATGGTACAAGCCACGGAGGTACAGCAGTGAGTGAGCACCTTCCTCTGGTAAGCCTAAATAGTGAATGCAGTTTTATTCATTTTGCTCATTTTAATACCTTCACAAAGTTTATCTGACACTGATGTCCAGCCTGCTACAGGGAGCAGATTCCAGAATGCAGATCCTCCGCAACTCTCTCCAGATTCCTTCCTCCACATGGGACCCAAGATAAAATGACTAGTTTTAAGGATTCTTGATTACTTGCTTCTTAGAGGAGACCAGGTTTTGAAGGCAGAGGATTGAGCATAGAGATGTTTGAACACAGAAACAAGGAGCAGCTGGCTCCCTGGGACTTGTTCCAGAAAGAGGGACAGCAGAGAAAACAGCAGAAGGAATGCAGGAAGCATCAAGGCTGGCATTGCTGGAGGAGTGAAGTGAGACAGGATCTGCAATTTAAGCCATTATACAATTGTGTGGGCCTTAATGCAAAGACAAGATTCGAACACAGAGGGGCCAGTTAAAATATTTCAAGCTCAGCAAAGATGTCAATGGCATTGTAGAGGATGGAATAAGAATCTTGGACCACAGAAATGTTCTTTAGGTTTGTTTAAAACTGGTTTATGGCAGTTTAAATACCTCTGTCTGTAAACTGGCAAGTTTGAAAGTGGGACAACTCCCCCTTGATGAAAAGATACCTCAGCAGAGGCAGAGCTGGACTGACTTTCCTTCCAGGGGGTGGAGTGGCAATAGCCCTTGATACGCTAGTCTGAGATTCTGCTTTTACAGTGTGACTTAACCTGTCTTTTCCAGGAATGAAACCACTTTCAAGTCAATTTAAACAAGGTCCAGATAATGCCAAATATTAGGAGACTGACAAAGAGCAAAGCAAACACTTTATCTCCAAGTGTAAGAGGAGCCCAGTTCAAGAGAGTTGTTCTCTGCAGGATTTGGGAATAAATAAACCCCAGCTGTTTCACTGACCTTCCTGGACACTGATGCTTCCCTCCTCCAAATGCCACAAAGCTGTCCAAGAAAGCATTCTTCTCTAAATTTGCCTCTTTCCAACGATCCTGTGGGAAGAAACTTTTTTTTCCAAATCAGCCTTATATAAATAAAGCTTAACTTTATTTCTCCAGGCTAAAAATGACCTTGGACAGCTAATCCTCAATACAAAGTTGCACTAATGCCATTTTTTTGCATTCAACCTGTTAGTGTTAAAGTCTGGATTCAAAAGTCAGCACCGACTCGGGGAAAGAAATGAGGGTCCCATCTGAAACATATTTAGGTGCCTCAAAATGCTGGTGAGTTTTTCAAAGTCATCCGTAAAGCATTCTTCCTATACCTTCCCATTTGCCTATAAAAAATGCAACCTTGTCCTTTTAAATATACACAAATGCCAAGCAAATGTTCAACCAGCACTGAGGGAAGCCTCAGCCACAAAATTTTGTCATTACACACAAGTGGCTCATGCATATCTTGCACAAAAAACATTTCTAAGATGCTGTGTACAGACAAATGCAAGGTCCATGAGCTGTATCTGGTGTAAGCCAGTGTGTGAGAAAATGAACTATTTGGAAGAAAAACAGCTCTGTCTGTACCTACAGGGATCCTTGTCCATCCTGAGTTGCTTTGAGAGAAAAGGAACAAGAGAAGGGACAAGGCTGAAGTTTTGGTGGGTGACACTGAGAGAAGCAAATCTCTTGACTGCTGAGTGACAAACTAGCCTCCACAAACTCAGCACAACTCTGCCAAGTAACACCCTGTCAAGGTTCTGGTGGTGAACTGCTCTGATGAAGCTGTCCCAGAGAAGATGCAATTTTGTCCTTCTTTGGTTTAGTTTTGGGTTTTTTTTTCACCTAGGGCTGTTTAGAGCTTTCTGAAGAGGAAACCTGTTAGAATCAAAATTCAATAAAAGAAAGAAAAAAATCTAAGGGACAAGGAAGGAGGTGACACATTTAGAATGACAGTGTCATTCAAATGCCGAGGAGCACTCATCTATTCCTCAGGAAAAAAAAAAGTGTGAGTTTCTAAAAAACAAGCTAGTTTTCTTTTTAGGAGTAAAGTTACTAAAGAAATAAGCTGCTGCATCAGGGTTTCGGCTTCAGATTTCCAACAGGCAGGAATTGTTATGAGAGATTTCAAACTGGGAAGAGTTTGCTAGAAAGGAAGTTTTGTTTAAATTACTCCTTGATGTATTTCTATAAAAAAGACAAACTGTTCTATATCAGATGGTGCTAAAAAGAGCAGTTACAAGCCTGCCCACACAGCCACCTGCAGTGGAATAATAATCAAGAAACTAGATTAACTACTAAATTAGCAGAGCTAATACCTACCAGAAATCATCTGACAGGGAGAGGAGAGTACTTGGAATCATAGAATCATAGAATTAGTTTGATTGGAAAAGACCTTTAACATCATTGAGTCCAGCCATTAACCCAGCACTGCCAAGGCCACACTAAACCATGTCCCCAAATACCACATCTACACATCTTTTAATCCCTCCAGGGATGGTGACTCCATTACTTCCGTGAGCAGCTTGTTCCGGTGCCTGACAACCCTTTCAGTGAAGAAATTTTTCCTAATATCCAATATAAACCTGCCCTGGCATGCCTTGAGGCCATCTCCTCTTATCCTATGAGCTGTTACTTGGGAGGAGACCAATCCCCACCTGGCTACAACCTCCTGTCAGGGAGTCACAGAGAGTGATGAGGTCAAGATCACAGTGATATGAAGGAGTACCATATTACCTGGAACATGTCACTGAATTTACAGTCTTGCTTATTCTTACAGGCTCCTCCTTCGTGGGCCCATCTTTTCTGTGTACAAGGCCGTTCTCTCAATGGGGACTACTCAACTTTGGGCAAATTTGTCCGTGTGCTTTTGTTGTGAAATAAGTGAAGAGGAGAAAAGACAGCAAAATACACACACCAAGTAGTGACAACTTACAGGTTTGAACATTTCTGGGTCTGGAAAATATTTTGGATTCCGGTGCAACCAATAGGGCGACAACATCAGCATGTCACCTGCAGGGATGGTGAAATTCTGAAAAGAAGGAAAAACTCTAAGAAAGGAGAAAATCACAAATCAACTCCCAAAACAGTCCCTCCTTGGTACTTCTCTTCCATCATAGAAAGTCCTAAGAGAGAACAAGTGGAGGTGATAAATCCTTGATGGCCATATTACATGTTTGAAGTTTCTTCTTGCTATTGCTGTTTTCTTCCATAAAATCTAAACAGTGGAGACCATGAAAAGACTGTTTGTCTTCTAATTTGTTTTTTTCAGGTATTAAAAGACAAGAAGCATTATTTCTTCTTTTCTGATTCTTGATGTAGCATGTGAGCTGTTCGGTTTTTTTCTAAGTCTTTTGTTGAACATTTCATTCAATGTAAAGAAATTCATAGAAGGTCTTATATGACAGCAGACATTAGTAATTTCTTAAGTGTCAGGAGCACTGCTTCCTTAAGAGAATGGGTTTTTCCCAAACATTTCTTTGCCAGATTCCTGAATGCTGACACTTCCCTTCTGAATGTCAGTGAGGAGGACAAACAGAAAATGAGTTTTATCAGTTACTAAATTGTGGTCCTTTCTACTACATTTGTTGTGTCTGATTACTATTTTACATACCATCAGCACAGTATCTCCATCTCAATTCAATTCAATCTAAAATCAACTAAAAATTGAAGGTAAGACTGTGAGCGAGAGAAGCAAAGCCAGTCATAAATTAATGATGGTGAATAACTCCATTAAAAAGAATATATTTGTAAGATTTGGAAGTATCTCTGGTACATTGATTTTATCCAGATCTGTTGGGAGAACCCTTTCCAGACAAATCATACAGCATCCTGTGGGGAAAAAACCCCACAACCAAATCTCACCTTAATTTTAATTGGGTTTATTACTTTCTTGGTGATTGCACCTGGAGACCTCAGCCGTATGGCTTCCAAAGTGCACCATTTAATAAAAGGGAGCTTCTTCAGATCCTCTTCAGACACTTCCAGTTTATCTTTACCTGTCGTGGCATGAGAAAGAAGACTCAGTGTGAAAAATGAGATTTCATAATTGTTTTGATAGAGGCTGACATATCTTGCTTTAGAACTGTTGTTAAAATACTTCAAGGCATATTTTACATCCAGAATTTTTCTTTATATTTCAAAGTTTTAAGAAAAGCCATTGAAGAGAATGTAGTAACTCTAAAGTGCTGTATTAGATATGGTGTTGGCCAAGAGAAGCCAAAGATAGGTCATTTTGGAAGGTAAGAGTCTCTGGACTTTTTCAGTGCTTTGGTAGGACACTGCATGGAAGTTGCAGGGATTGTAGGCACCAAGACAAGAAGCCATGGCTGAGCTCCTGGGCTGTGTTAACACAAGCAAATGAAACAGGGCCAGAAGAAAGGCTTAAGCACTGCTTTGTGATTTTCTTTATTGGCTAATTATTGACATCTTTCTTGATATGGTTTTGGTCCATGTCAACAAAGAGCCTTCCATGAAACTCCAAGCATGGTTCAGGGCACTGCATATGGGAATCACTGCTCCCAGTAGGTAACTGCTTTTTGAGGGAAAGAGATTAGCCATGGGGGGTGAATCATGCTGGATAAATTGGCCTCTGATGACAGAAAACAGTTCCTGGCCTGCTTTTTTCCACAGAATAGCTGGAACTGGTGAACATCACACCACGAAAAGCAGCTGAACTGAAAAACCTCATCTGACGCTATCATAGGTACATGGAAAAATCACAACACTGGTTAATACAAATCTAAGTTTAAATTATAGGAATGAGGAAACATATACAGTTCTTTTCCTACCTTCTTTTGATAACATCAAAGGTATTCTTGCTTAAAAATACTTCTTAAGCATATGCTGAGTAAAGAACTGAGAGCTGGACTCTACGTTATCAGTAGTACTCTTAGCAGCAACACTCATTGTTCCCAGCCACTGACCAAGTGTGCTGTGTGCTGGGCTGACACAGAATAAATCATTTCTAACCTCCAGGACATGATCAGATTTATTACCTGCTTTCCCAAAAACAGAAGCCAGGTCTTCCATGACTTTCTTGTAAATGGAAGGATGAGACAGTATGAAAGCAATGGTCCAAAATGCAACCTAAACAGAGATGGAAACCCTTGAATTTAGGAATACAGAACAGAATGACAGTATCTTTGTAGCAAATCATGGAGGCAGGTGAAAAAATTTTCACTTTTTTTTTTTTTTGTGTGTGTGCCTGTTGTAGTTGGGATGCACAGGGAGCTGTGCTTTCTGGGTAAATCCATATCTAAGGGCTCAGCTCCTGGGAGATTACGTCTAGTCATCTGCTGTGTACTTATCTTTAGTGAACATTATATAGCTTTGGCCTTGAGCTTTGAGGCACAGAATCCTTTCTTTATTTTCAAATAACTAGATGTTAAAATGAACTACGAAATCATTGTGTGTGATTAGTTTCAGCTTCATGAATGGAAATAAAACTCCTACTAATATTAGCAGAAATGAGGTTAAATAATTTGCAGGGCATTGTCATAGTAAGTCACACTAAAACGGGCAGGAAAAGTTTTAATTAACAGCAAAACAGGGAGTAGTATATCCCCTTTAGAAATAATTTGCTAACTGATTATGCAATGAAGTTGAAAATCAAGAAATTTAGGAAAGGAGAAAATCCTCTTAAGTAGGATGAAACCAGAAGGACTGGCAGCAGTGCCAGGAGTCTCTCTCCTCTTGCTGAGCTAGCGGGAGATGCAGCCTGCACACAGATCTGGTCATGGGCCATCTGTGCTGGTGAGGGATGAGAACTCTTACTGTTATTTCCCAAATAGCCCAACGTGGATGCAGGTCCTCCTTCTGCAAAACAAATCTGGTAGCTTAGTTTTCTTGTACAGCACTTGGACACTGTGGCTTCACTCCACGGGCTAAGGAGGGATAGCTGAATTGTTTCAGATAAAAGGGTTTAAAGTGCTTGTAAAAAAATGCCCTTGGAAGGTGAAAGGCCTTTTTTTCCATCATTCCATTCCCCAGAACAGTGGTTGTGCCTATTCTGAGAAACAGCAAAATATCTGTATGTCTATTTACAGCTGAATATTACAGGAGTAAGTGTTGTGGAAGGAATGTCAGTTATCCTGATAACAGACAGCAGGCTATGCCTCCCACTTATACCAACACATGAATCCACAGAAACTTCACTGAAATGGATGAATTTCCCTTAGGCTAAATTTCAGTGATATCCAATCTACAAAAAACATAGATATATCCATTAGGGGGACATATAAAAATAACTCACTATCATGTTTTTCTACATCACATCTGTAATGGACGTAACTGTGCTGGAAAGGGCTTAGTAGTCACGGTAAATAAAGGATGGTTTTGCTGCTATGGATTTTTCATCTGAGAAATTCCTATAAATGTCTTTGGTTAGCCTAAGCTGTGTTAGATATATTGGGTTTGTTAGCATACTTATATCAGGATCATTAATCCAGCAAATCCTTTTCTAACATGGACAAAATTTAACAGAAGTAGAATCAAACTATTGCTTTTCTTCCACTGGCATTTTTACAGCAGATCCCCCCAAATGAAAGAGACAAATTCACTCAAGGATTTACACATGGATGATGTTATTCTATATTATGCTTTTGATATTCTTTACAATTGGTAACACCAGGATATCTAAAATAGAGTCTTTACTATAACACAGCCACAGTACTTCAAAACAGAGTTAAATGCTCTTCACAGCTTAAGACTCTGATCTTAATAGCTATGAGGCTTATGTTCCTGAAATGTTATGATAGGGGACAACATAATTTAGGAAAAATACAAGAAGAGCTTTTCTTGTCATTGCTTCTGTGACATTGCAGCCTGGGTATATTTGTAGTGATACATGTGGGCGTGATAATCCCTTCTTTGGAATCCATGCAGTGTGTGTGTGACCTCTGCTTCAAAGTCTTTGCTTCCCAAATACAGGCTTTTGAACAGGATAGAGAGAAGATGTTTCTGTAGCTGATGTACTCACGGGGACAGCATTTGCTTGGGCAGCCCAGAGCATGAGGAGACCATAATTGGGAGCTAAATGTTTTCCTTGCAAGTTGTCCAGAAGATGTTGCAGTAGTGTCTGTTATAAATAAAAGATAATGGCTATTTCCAAAATATTAAAAGTGTTTAGGGTAGGGCTTACTAGAATTCAAGGATTAGTTTATCAAAGAGAAGTAATATTAGTCATGGTTTTTTTGCAACCACAAAGTAGAGATGACAGCTGTTAAGAGAAAGTGAGACTCACACATAGGCAGAGAGCAAAAAGCACTCAGTGCACCACATGAATCCCTACTGAATACTTGCACTGGTCTCAATTTCCTTAACATTTTTAGGAAATTGGGCACCCTCAATCCCTATTGTTGCTTGTACATGGAAGAATTCTATTCTAACTCCTGTTCTACTCCTCTAAAGAACCTGAAAACGGGAATGAACCAGTTGAATGAATGCAAATGAAGAAAATGTTCTCTCTGTTCATGCTTGTTATGAAGAGATGGTCTGATATATCAGTAAACTCCCTGGTTTCAGGCACTTTGTTGGTGACCTAAGCAGTGACCTCAGTGGGTGGATATTCTTTGAAACTATAGCAACTGTGTAATGTTCTAGGATCAGCTTTTGTTTATAGGATTTCCTTAAATACAAGGCAACCATGCATTCAAGACAAAGCTTCCTGTCTACTTTTCAGAGGCAAAAAGGCTGACTTTGAATAAAAAATTACTGATTTTTTTTCCAGATTCCCACCCAATCTAAGACACCAAGTTTGTGCCTCCTACTTTGTGCACCTTCTTAGGTCCCACCATCCCCTCTCCACCCTTCTCTTTCTTTCCATTAATCTGGTTTATTTTACGAAAGAAAATGCGGTATGTAAAGCTTTTAAAGTCTAAATAAAACTTGTTTTGTTTAATGACCTGTTCTACAACCATTTGGTAGATCAAAATTCCCAGGCCAGTCTGCCGTCACGTTTGTCAGCCGTATCGACAGAATTCCTGCCAGAGCTAAGGAGAATAACCAGGGGAACAACTTATCACAGCTTTGACACAATCAATATTTAGGGTACTTGGCTTCCAATCCAGTAATCTGCTATTTTCTACTAGTCTGGCTATTGGACGACCTACTCAGTCTACACCAGGGTTTAAAAATAGTACATGTAAGGTTTTGAGATTTCACAGCATGGTGCCCTCAGAGAAACAACTGAAGGGTCTTTCTCTCACCTCTTTCAACTGCTCACTGCAGTGTGATACTGGAGGCTGGCAATGGATCATAGCTCTGAACCCTTGGCTTAAAATTCCCCAGAGGAAGACGTTAATCCTCAGAATTGTTGGAAATAAATTAAATGGAGGAGTAGAAGTCAAAGTTGTGGATCTGGATCTGTCCTACTGCAGGTGACAGTAATACTAGACAATGAAGGCATAGCTATAAAAGTTGACATATTTGATTTATTTCTTCCAGTACTGAAATAATTCCTGTCCTCCATTGCTTCAGTGAGAATATACAACAAAGTCATCTTATTTCCTAGCCTGGGATGTTTACCTTGGATGTGGTGTCTGAAGGGTTGGTCCTTTCAGCATCCAACACTACTTTCTCAAATAATTTTAGAAGCCATTTTTTGGATTTAGACCAGTTCCTGTAAAGAAAAGCAACAAACAAGAAGCACTCAAGTGAGGCAACATAAACCAGCATTTCCTTTTCCATGAGAAGGACTCCTTGTTTGTTTTCCAAAAGCCCCTGGGCAGCAGTCAGTGGATGGATAGCCAAGTGTCAGTCTGACTGATTGATGTGATGACTGACATGAAGAACAGCACGTCCAAGACCTTCACCTTGGCCAGACCTCATCCTAGAGCCAGGACCTGTGGCTGCAAGACTCCTGCATTTTCCTACCTTTTCACCCCAGGTTTTCATTGTGGCTTTAGACAGATTGCTTAGGCCAATCTTTTCAAGTATGATCCTCCTGAAGAAAATCAAAGCCACATTTTTAGAGTACCCTCAATTCTTTCTGAATGCTATTTTGGGGTGTTTAAGGCAATATCATGGCCGTGGGAGCACTGACAGGCTTTACAAGCACTTCCCTCCCTCAGAAATTGGGTCTCTCTACCCAAGGTCAACTCTGCAACAGTGCAGCCACATAATCTGAGATTGGTCTGCTGGGAAAACAACGAAGGTATGGAAAAGATCAGAGGGACACCTCATTGGAGACTCCCTGAGCTTGGGACTCACATTTAGGGTCAAGCCTTTGCCCTTTGCCCTGTTCTGCTGCTCCCTGACAGGTCCAAGCTGGACCCTGCCTACCTAAGCAAGGTTGTTACCTCAGGAAGCACTCAGGCATCTGAGAAGCGTATTCAAAGTCCTCATCGTACTTCTGAAAATGTTCTTCAAACTCCTTGATTTTGCTCTGACTTGTTGGGCAGATGCCTTTCCCAAACAAGGTGTTCACCACTGCTGGATACATGACATGCCTGCAAGGACAAGATCCCCAAGACTTAGGGGCCATAGGAAGCCATGGCAGCAGTTTTAGGTCAGGATGCAGCGCGTTAAATTGCCAGCACTTGTGGGACTCAAGCATCATGCCGGTATGGAAGGGCTGGCACAAGGCTCACACTACACTCACACCCTTTTTTAAGATTTTAAGCAGAGACTTGGAGATACATAAACCTCAGGCTGGTCCTCTGCATGTGGCTGAACTTCATCGGTTATCATTTGGTCACCTGAGCAGTGGTAGGAAAGCTCTGGGCCCCAAGGTCCCTTCTCCCCATTAACAACCCCTCTCATTTCAGGTCCCTTCTCCCCATTAACAACCCCTCTCATTTCAGGTCAGCCTATGTGAATCTTCCAGGCATTGTACAAGCCCTTCTGGACCAGACACCCCAAAACTTCGTTCCTCTGTCTGCAGCTTTGCTGGACAATGTTCCTTTGTTTTCATCTCACTCCTTCCCTGCTTGTTCCTCCATTATCCTGCGAACTTTGAGCTCCGTTCTCCTTTACGGTCTTTGCAAGGTTCCAGCCTCTGCTAAACCGGGAATAGCGCTCACTGTCCTGCTTTTCTAAAGATCATAAGGAAGCTGGGGCCATCTGGTGGCTCTGTGGATTTAGTTTTGAGGCAGCTAAATAACAGCTATCCTGAGCATTGCATTCCAATTCTTTTACTCTGCCTTGTAAGAACAGATCACCCCCCACCCCCTCCAGATTTACTGTGGATGATTTTTATGGATTCTGTATTTTTATCATCTAGCAAATAACTTGGGTTTTTAAATTTTAAACAAATAACAGCTGATGTGAATGCCAGGACAGCCATGGAAGTGGAAAGAACACATCAGGGATGCAGTAGGATGGAATGCTCCATGTATAATTTGTAGGCTCATGGCACCGCTGACTCTTGTGGACCACAGTCTGTGCTGGTGCCAGTACAGCACAGAACAACAGGTCCCTGTCCACAGAAACTTGATCCCAGGTTAAAAGACCACAGATGGATTCAAAAGGGGAATAACAGGAAGATGTGAGCCAACATTAGCACACCAGGCAGTGTTATGGGTCGCCACCAATTCAATGATGCCCATTTTTTCACAAGAGGCAGATGTGAATTTGATCTCAGAAGACAGGTGGGGAAACATCATGGGATGTGAGGGTTTGCACCCCATTATCAAGACAAGTGGGATAATGGGAGGGTTTCAAAGCCCCTTTCCCCCATATTTTCCCCCAGTTAATCCATATTGCAGCAATGGCAGTGACAGGTGCTGAGTGTTTTAGCTGCAGTAAAAGCTGTGTTATGCAGAAAAAGTCAGCAAAAGACAACCTGGTGTTAGAAACAGGCCTAAGCCAAAGGCAATATTTGCCCTATCCCTTGGAAGTGTTCAAGGCCAGGTTGGATGGGGCTTTGAGAAACCTGGTCTAGTGGAATGTGTCCTTGCCCTTGGCAGGAGGTTGGAATGAGATGACCTTTAAGGTCCTTTCCAACTCAAACTATTCTATGATTCTATGAATATTCAACTTCTAGTACTGATGGACAGACAAGATATAGATGTTGTCCCAGATGTCCAGGAAAAAGGAGAAGTTAAGAGCTCTGTTGTTGTCACATGAAACTGTCAGTAAAGGGATTTTTTTTTACATGAAGAATGAAGTTCTGGCAGCAAAGTCAGTTGCAGAGGATTAGTTAAGTTTTGGCCTAGGCTTGGCCCAAACATGAAAAGTTTTCAACCTGCTGAAGATCAAGCATTTTGTCTGTTCTTAAGTTCTTTATAAACATGTGAAGTTTTTATCCCATCTTCTGGGAAACAGGGTTTGTTGGAAGATTCTGTGTTTTCTTTTTCTTTCAAAGAGGTAATTCAGATGCTTCTCCTAGCTGGGAAAAAACACCTTTAGATGAAACCCTGCCTCCTCTGTGAGCCAACTGAAACAGTGAATCTATGATGAGCATCCTGAAAAAACTTTTGTAACACTTGAGAGCCTGAGCTCCACCTGCTTTACAGTGACATCTCTGCTCCCATGTAGGACACCCCTGCATTGGAGATGTGCTGCAAAACTCCCTTACCTTACCAGGTCATTGAGGTCGCCTGTGCCCTCCATGCCCAGCTGAGCCATGTGCTCATGTAGCTCCTTACACAAAGTGCCCGTGAACATGTGCAGATTGGAAGGACTCATTTTCCCCTTCATCATGCTGTACAGGTTACCGTGATTCTGATAAAATGCTTCTGCAGGGACAGAAACTAAATACAAAAGAAACAGAAACATTTTGGAAAGTAGACAAAGTAGATTTTCACTGAAAGACAGAGTGAAAATTTTTACACTTGTTTCGACTGTAATTTAAGTGCCTTAACCCTCATTTTCCTAGAGTGAAATACTCTGTAAGCTTCTTTCTAAAGAAGCTTCTTACAGTAAAGATTTTGATAAGCCCTCTGCTTCTACCAGTCTGTGTAACATCTTCCTGCCTCATGAAGCTTCAGTGCCAGAATCAACAATCCAGAGACTTCCCCCCAGTGGAATATAGAGAGATGTGCATGCACATCCACAGAACTGAATGAAAAATAAATTATCCCGAGAAAAAAGTTTGTGTCACCTTTCTACAGTGGCACATCCTCTCAGGAGAGGCTGAGAGAGCTGGGACTGTTCAGCCTGGAGAGGAGAAGGCTCAGGGGGGTCTTGTCACTGTGGATAAATATCTGGTGGTAGAAGAAAGATGAAGCCAGGCTCTTCTCAGGGCAGGAGGCAATAGGCACAAATGGCAACAAAGGAGACTCCACTGAGACACAGAAGTTTTTATTGTGAGGATGATCAAACACAGGAATAGGTTGCCCAAACAGGTTGAGGAGTCTCCAACCCTGGAGATATTCAAAACCCAACTAGACACAGCCCTGAGCAATCTGCTGTCACTGACGTTGCTCTGAGCAGGGACTTGGACCAGGCAATCTCCAACAGTGCCTTCCAGCCACAGAGATTCTGTGATTTAATCTCTCTGATAATTTGCTTCTCTCTTATTTCACAGTCCAAAATTGCCAAACTACTCAAAGAATTCCTGTCTGTGCTATTCTGTGAGGATATAAGCACATGAGCTGATAGAGCATGCCACTCTGGATGGGATATATACCTCGCCCATTTTTAATGCCTGTTGTACCACAGGGTAATAACTAATTACTGCTACAAGCTGATTTTCAAATGAAGTGATAGGACTACACTCACTCCAAACACGGTATACACAGGAGGAGTGTCCAGCCACAGAAAAGGACCTGATCTCAAACTTGGGTTGCTTGATGATGAAAGTAATAACAGTCCTTGGATCAGAAACATCTGCTTCCTTGTGACTGAATCCAAATCACTTTGCAGGTTTACAGTGCTGGATCCACATGGAGAAATTGAGTTTCACCTTCATTTCACAGCACGGTCATGGGTTAAAATAAGCATTTAAGGTGTGATCAAAGAACCAGTGGGCTTCTGGTTTGCTTTAATGTTCCTGGGTAACTAGATTTGATTTCCTTTAAAAAAGAGCCAGGTCTCAGTTACCTGCATTCTTGACAGCTTGTTGTACTGCCTGTTCGAAGTTTAGGTCTTCAGATTTAAAAAATGCTTCAGTTCCTTCTTCCTCAGTCACAAAAGTAAATCGTTTTCCCAGAGCAAATATTGTGAACACGGGTCCATACTGGAACAAACAAAGATTTCATATTACTGCACTGTTAACTCAGTGCTGCTGAGAGGTCAGGAGGGAGGAGCTCGTCCTTTCTGCTCTCTGTACACCTTGGCTCAAGACTGCACAAAGAGGAACACAAATCAGACCAAAACTTGTAGACTTAGGGACCAGAAGGGAATGTGGTCTGTGGCTGCCTGACCTTTTGCAGAGTAGGAGGGATTCCTTCTCTGAGAGTAACACTTTATACTTGAATTACATTACATTTCAAACAATACAACCTACCTGGATTTAGAGAATCCAAGGGATGGACTATCTACTGCATCCCTTGGCTGCCACAGCAAAGTACCCACAGTGTAAAAATCCATAATCCTACCTATTTCGATCTACAATTTTTTAGCAAAAAATCCCCACTCCTACATCTTTTTATTCCTCTCCTGTCCCCTCCCCTTCTCTTCCCTCTCCTCCCCTC